GTCTAAAAATACCATATTTTGACCCTAGTATTGAGAAAATTAATTGCAAAAAGATTATCAACAACTATTTGATTAATCAAAAATTTGAATTTAATAATGACTTTCAAATTACCTATCAATTTGGACCTACTCTAGGACAAATGCTATTTAACTATAACAAATACCTGAATCAGCTTAACAATTCTAGTGATAGCCATACCACACCCCTCTGCCGACATTGTTATAAATACCAAAATAACAAAAATACAATAGAATATGGCAGCCAAAAACATGTTCTTACTGGAGATAGCACCTCGTTAGCTCAATATTTCCCAGATACCTCTACCTTACTCCAATTAGGTACCAAGTTTCGTCCTAATATCTGTCCATCTGATAGGGAAATACATCAAATTAACCAAAATTTTGCCAAAGAAATTGCTAAAATTACCAAAAATCAGTTTATCGAGACTATAGGTAACGATATTATTGAGAAAATTTATTCGCAATGCTCAAAAACTGTCACTACCACAGTAAACTGGAAGGAGTTACGTGTGTTACAAAGTAATTTTATCATAACAAGTGTAGATAAAGCTACTTCTAACTTTGCGATAATATGCCCTTATCTTTATCAACAATTCATTGATAAAGAGATGGGAATACATAACGGCCAACCCAGTGGTAACATCACCTACATCCCCTATAATACTGAAAATCAAACAGAAATAATCAAAAGGCATATTGATACACATCATTTGTTTAAAATTAATCTCCCTGAAAAGCCAATTCTACCGAAGATATACGGGATCCCAAAATTCCACAAAAATCCTATAAAATTCAGATATATTACTGGTGCATACAATAGTTCGATAAAGCCAATTTCCATTAACTTACATAGATTATTGAAATTTATTAGACAACATTTTCAAAGATATTGTAGTGTTATAGCAAATAATACTAACAAAACTGTATATTGGTCTATAGACAATTCTAACCAAGTTAGCTTGCTAGATAATCGAGACAAAAATAATATCTATATAGCAGACTTTAGCAGCCTATTTACTAACTTGCCACACGATATCGTTACCAGAGCAATTAATGGGATCATAGAAATATGTTTCAATAATGCTCAAAAAAAATTTATTAAATTAGGCTACAAGTCATGTTATTATACCAATGAGTCAAACGGTAATGATATCTATGGTAAGAAAGAAATAATTTATTTGGTCAATTATATCTTAAATAATAGCTTCGTTACCTATAAAAAACTATTATTCCAACAAAAACAAGGCATACCACAAGGACAAAACTGTAGCCCAATGATTGCAGATCTAACATTAACTTATTACGAATACATATATCTTAAAGATAATGCTACTAACAATGTTATTGGACATAGATATATGGATGATATACTCATTCTATATAAAAATGGTGTTAATATTGAAGAATTCTTGTCGGAAATTTACCCTATCGAATTAACTTTAGAGCAAACTAACGTAGATAGCAAAAGTGGTAACTTTCTAGACCTCAGAATTTTCAATGTTAACAATAAAATTCATACGGAACTTTACAATAAGGTTGATGACTACAAATTTAAGGTTACACGCCTTCCTAATTATCAATCTAATATCTCATATGCTATAAAACATGGCTGCGTGGAAGGAGAAATTATTAGAATAGCACGTAAATGCTCAGAACAAACTTCCTTTACTAAGCACCTTAACCAACTCATATCGCACTTACAAAATAACGGGTATCCTAAACCTATTCTACTTAGTCTATGCAAAAAAGTCTTTACCAAATACCCAGTACTTGGCATTAAACACAATTGTGACCATAAAAATATTCAACATTTACTTTCGTAATTCTAACATAGTTTCTTCTTCATTTTAACCTTTTCACTACTACTTTTCGTTCCGTTTTTACTTTTCTTAGCTATCTTGCCATAATTCTCGCACATAGACTACACGCCGCTACTATGCCATCCTTTACCTAACGTAATCGAATCAGCAGACTAGGCTGTAGCAAACAGAAAAGAAATGAAAAACTACTTCCCCGAAACACAAAATAGAATTTCTTAACACTCCCGAACCATTTTTCCTTCTTATAGATACTTTTTCCACATAATTTTACTATATTATTGTCCCGCTAGGGCTTCCAACTGAGGAGACCCGACCCTAGCGAATGTTTTGCCTGTCTTGGACAAAGGGTCGAAACAGGCCTTACTAAATTACTTTAACTAATTTAGCTCATTTGAGCAATTACTCTTTCATTTTCTAAATTACATTACTAATCTACATTAATAATCTATTTTCTTTTATTAAAACAACCTATTAAAATCCTAGGACTTTTTTGTATATATTTTTGCTTCTAGTCTAAAATTTCTAGCAAAAAATGATGAAATCTAAGGCCACAATCGCAACTTCGGCACTATGAAACTATCAAAAACCGACCAGATAAAACGACCCTTGAAGAAGAGAGAAATGTTATATGAACGTGTTTCGAAGTGAAACCTGGTTAGGTCACACCTGAAATTATCAATATCTCTTCTGTGGGCGCGAATGCTATCCTAACGGTTACTTACGTGGACACGCATGAAATTGAGACATCTGCATTGTCGCATAAGCAGGGCAGACTAGCAGAGATTGTTTGAGGAAATGGACGGACCCCGAGAGGAGGGCAGGCTAGCAGAGATTGTTTGAGGAAATGGACGGACCCCGAGAGGAGGGCAGGCTAGCAGAGATTGGAGGAGGAAATGGACGGACCCCGAGAGGAGGGCAGGCTAGCAGAGATTGTTTGAGGAAATGGACGGACCCCGAGAGGAGGGCAGGCTAGCAGAGATTGTTTGAGGAAATGGACGGACCCCTAGAGGAGGGCAGGCTAGCAGCAATGGCTGTTAATCCGCTATGCTCCCCTGGACGACACAAAAATCAGCAGCCAGCCGATAACCCGATAATTAGCCGCAAAAAGCACAAACCGAGCCTCGCCAGCCGGCCAATGGCCGCAATTTTGCTCCCCTCATATTTTGTGCCCTTCACACCAGGGAGATGTCGAACAATTGGAACAATCAGTGAAATTGAAGGGGAGGTAGAAAGCACATTTTCTTCTCTCCTTCTTTTGAGGCTTTTCCATAGAAACCCGAGGCCCAATCTCCAATCTCAAAATCAGGCCGCTGCCCTACGGGTAAAATGGTGACGATGAAAACAGCAGCAGAATTAGTCGCTGAGAAATATGGGGCGAATTAGCGAAAATTGGATTTTAGTGCCGAACTGGAAGGGCTGGGAAGCCAGAGATCAAGCTTGATACGTTGTAGCAAAAATTGTACTTGCCTGTTCCCAGGGGGAAGCTAATTTGTATCTGATTTTTCGCCTCAAAGGCAGCCATAAAGTGTAAATTTTTGTTTATGTGTTTCACCACAGAATATGGAACAAAAAAGAAACCATTGGCGAATCTAGCGACCGTCCTTGCGATAAGCAAATATTTTCAATTGATTTTCCGCACAACTTTTTAAATTTGACTCGGCAAGGGTATTGAAAGTAATTTTTGAATTTTGCAAAAATCGGCAAAACGGCATCAAGCCACATTCACAAGATAAGTAAAAAAACAAGTAAAAAAACGGAGCAGCGATTTGTTTCAAGCAACTGAAGCGTAAAACCGATAAACAAATGCGTAATGCCAGTGCGTAGAGATGGGAAAATTCAGGAGGTTGGATTTTATTGCCAATTTTGAGAGCTGGGAAACCTAGAGATCAAAACTTCAGTTCGATCTCTAGCTCGCATGTCCGAACAAAGCTTGAAAAAACATATATTTCAACTTCGAAAACCGAAAAAACCCAACAAAAAAAGGTCAATTTTGGACTTGTCCAGGAACTTTCTAAATTTCCACTTGAGTACGCGCGGCAACCTGAACGGATTCGTCCAGAGGCCTCCGATGGAGCGGTTTCTCGAATTTTCGCTTTTTGGTCCTAAAATTTTCTATTTCGTCTTTATTTTAGCTTTTTCTTCGTTTTTGTTATTTTCTTTTTGTAAAAACTGTTTAAATTTACCCAAATTGGCTGTGTTCAGTCGTTGATTTGTTTAAAACGATGAAAACATTGGCACCGTGCTGGATTTGACCGTTCTCAAAGATTGGGGGTTCGATTGACATTGAATGTTTGTTTCAAGCGTTTTTTTAGCTAATTTATCGTGCATGATGATGATTGTCGATATTTTATGCATGAAATCATCTTTGCTAGTTGGATATATAGCTATTTTACCTTATTTTGACGTGCGATTCGGCCAGGCGCTGTGTAGCGATGTTTCAATGGCCATTTACTGTGGTTTACTATGAAACTACTCATTTTTCTTTTTTTAAAGCAGGAACGGTGATTGTCCTTGGTCTTTTCCTGAAGCCTTTTACCGCAGCAAAAACATTGCCCTGGGCTCCATACCACATCCATGCACGCCCTTTCGAAAGGAGGGCAGGCGTCGGTTCGAATCGCGACACATTCGCTAAATCTTGGTGCAATTCCTATTCTAAACGTTATATTGCCCTAAATATTCGCTAAAACTATCTACCGCAATGCTAAAAAGGATTAACTCTAAGCGGAAATCGATGGACCCGGTAGGTTGTCGTTAGGAAACGGCAAAAATCGAGCCCTAAGCCAGACTTTTAGGCTCAAAAAGTTTAGAAATACTATGTTTCTAGGCATTTCGGTTTGAAATTGTCTTTTCCACGGCTTAATTGACCCATTTTCATGTTGTACCAACAATTTGGATCGTTAGGGCTTACCTTGTAGTATAAATTCGGCTGAAAACGTACGTTTTCTTGCATACGAGCGAGTAACAATTTTGTATTCCTGTCAGTTCTTATGCTTTGAATTGGTAAATTGATTCAGATCATAAGTTTTTCACTAATGGGGGCTGTTCCTCAGTTTTGCGCTCGTATTGAGCCCTGAAATTTCCGCAGTTTTCTCAAGCTTCCTGAGGGATTTGTTCGCAACTCCGACCCGTCTTTTCTAGGTCGATCTGACCGGGCACAGCATGGCCGCCAAGAAGGATCGCGCGACGGGCTCGACGCCCTGGTACTTCGAGGAGCAGCGACGTCGTCAGATGTTGGCCGACAAGCAGCAGCAACAAGAGCAAAAGAAGGCCGCCGGCGGGGGATGGCTGGGACGCCTGACCCGCATGGTCACCGGATCATCGTCCGTTTTTCTTTCGGTTTTGATTGCGTTTTCGGTGCTTTCCGTTTGGCGGGAAGACTAAAATTTTGTTCGCGTGGACGTATAACGAAATTTAGACGATTTTTATAGCATTTACACTATTTTTAGGCAGAAAAATTCATCTATTTTTGGAAAATGTCCAGTTTTCCCGATAAATGTATGAAAATCAGACCAAACCAGTCGGGTTTTCGCAATTTTTGAGCCTTTCGATCACTCCCGATTGATTCTTCCGCTAAACGAGAGACACCGATTTTTCAATCGCTACCTCTGCAAAACCCACCTTTTTAGCTCAAAACTCACGCCCTACCGTCAGACCGAAAGCACTTCCCGCTTGCCCCGCATGGACGCCATGAATCCTGAGGTATCTAATCTGGCCTTGTTTTTATACTAATCAACTTTAGAAAAGTTTCTCGCATGCCACCCCGCCGCAAGCTTCGACGCCTGAGGTAACGAGCTTTATCAGTGGCTTTGAAATTTGGTTTCCAGCCCGACGTGGCCCCGTCGCCGCCAGCTTCGGTGAAGCGCAACCGGCTGTTGCGCAGTCTGATCTACGATCAGCCGGTATATCTTTAGTTTACATCGAAAGAAGTTATATTCTTTCCGGGTGTTAGAATTAAAATGTCTGTCCAAGCTATGTCGTGTCATAATAAATGCTGGCGGGTTATGTATTTGGTGTGGGTTTTTTGGCGTCTATGATGTGCAGACTTTCACTAAGGCCATTTTCTAGGTTTAACAGTTGAATTTTCGTGGTTGTTTTGCTCTAACATCACCATCTCGTAATTGTGTGCGATTTAGTCGGTTTTGAGCAAAGTTTCGTTGAAACATTGTTTTTCCGGGACATTTAGTAAGTTGGCAACTGAAATTTTCGTAGATTGTGTTCAAGAGCTCTCAAAATGCGCGTTTTCCTTTTCTGCTCTCTGCTTTTTTTAAACTGCGCGCCTGCGTACTTTTTCTGCGCGTTTCTCAATGCGTTATTCTTGGATTAGTCAAAAAAAATCCTTTTTTTATGCTGGACTGTACATTTTCTCCTTTTCTACCTGTTTTCCGACTTGTTCTCTTTGCTAATTCCCCTATTTAGGCTCCGATCAGCGAGTCGCCCGAGCTCGAGGAGCAAGAAAACAGCGACATGTTCGTGCTGGAGGGCAGAAGGGTCGTCCGTCGCAGCATGCCGATGCAGGTCGAAGATACGCACATGGTGTAAGAATCTCCTTAATTTTCCGTTTAATTCTTTTTTAGTGACCTGTCACCCATGGCCGAGAGGACGCCGCGCCGTTCCATCCGGCTCACCCAGCAGACGCTCGAACGGCTTGAGGAGGAGGTATCAATTTTGGGCCCGATTAAATTTTTGATTTTTCAGGTCCGCACCGAGTCGGCCAACGGCTTCTTGACCCCGGAGAAGGAGCGCGTCAACGCCCCGATCGCCGTCCACGACGATTTCACCAGCACGCCGACCAGAACTTCTGGTAAACCTTTGAAGAATTTTCTCAAGTTAAGAACTTTTTAGATCGCAAGACGCCGAAGAGTGGCCTGCGCCCGGGCGGCACCAGCAGCAGCACGCTCAGCCGCATCAGCGGCATGATCAAGCGCGGCATTAGCTCTGGTATATTTTTTTATTTAAAACTACTTTTTCGGGGTTGACGACTTTTTTGATACCTTTTGCATTATCTTATAACCGCCTCGTAACGTAATAGAACGGAAAACTCTTTTTCCCGTCCCAGAAAACTACAAAACTACTTTTAAAAGTTTTTTTCAGTTGGCAAGGGCAAGCAATCCCAACCGCACACGCCCGTCTCCAAGCTCATCCGCCGCGACACGCTCGAGTCGACCAAGTCGGAGGGCTGGAAGCGCCGACGTTACAGTGATGGTATCCGCTTTTTTAATTTTAGAATACCTTTTTAGTCGGTGGCTACGCTGGCCTGCAGGGCCTCATGTCCACGCCCACTTCTTCCACCCGCATGCTCACTGACAATGGTAATTTATCTTTATTTTCTTTTAAAACAATTTTTCCAGACATAGAGCGTCTGCGTCACTTCCAAGACGTTGTCCAAATTTCGCCCACCGAAGCCAAGTCTTTGGTAAATTCTTTAAACCTTATTTTTAGTTATTTGCTGTTTTCAGGTGCGCCAAAGCATGGACAACTTCCCGGAGCTGCCGTTCGACGCCATCGTCGCCGACGCGCTGATTGATGGGAAGCCAAGTTTGTCAAATTCCCAATTTTTTTAATTGTGTTTTTAGTCTCGGCCTTCTCCGAGTGGCTCTTCAAGCACTTTGACATCATGGGCGAGGTGCAGGACATTGTCAAGATGCCCAGCTTCTTCGGCAACACGGTCAAGCTGCGCGTGCCGCGCAAAGGAACTGGCGAGGAGATTAGTGAGTTTTCGCATTCTTTTTCTAAACATTTTAATTTTAGTCATCGCCATCGGTGTGCTGCGCGAGCGTGGCAGCAACGCGGCCGCCGCGGCTCGCATAGGCTACGACTCGGCCATCACGCTGGCCTGCCAGGGCAGGGAGAAGACGAGAGTGGTGAGGTTTTCTTTGATTTCCGGGATTTCTGAAATGTATAAAAACCGCGGAAAACGAATTGTTCTTTGAGTTGGTCAGAAAACATACGATTTGTTGTGCCAATTGAAATTTAGAAATTCTAAAATAAGAGGACTTTTTGACATAGAACATTTTTATTTTAGCGAGTTAGGTGTTGCACGTTTAGGCATTCTGAAACGTCGGCGTTTTGAAAATAGGGGTGTGTTTTTTTTGGAAATTCTTATTTATAATTTTTTTAGCTGGTCGTGCCCGCGTTCTTCCCCTGCGACACCCAATACAACGAGACGCTGGCCGACGCGATGCTGAGGACCGTCTTCAGAATTACCCACACTCAACCGGGTGTAAGTTTTGCATTTTTTATCTATATTACTGATTTGATAAATTTTGATTGTTTTTCTGGCTTGATAAAGTAAGCTTTCAGATATTGTAAAATGATCAAGAACTTGTGGTTTCTTTTGTAACTTTTATTTCAGCATTTTATTTTTCAAAATTTCTGAGTTGTTTCGGTTTTTGCAAAGTTTTTATTCTACTTTCTAAACACTTCTTTTCAGCTCTCCTCGGTCATCATCTGCGGCCAGAGCGTCGAAGAGCGAATGTGCCTACAACGTCAATTTGACAAGGTATCAAATCATTTTATTCTTTTTCAAAGTTGACTTTTTTAGCTGATCTACGACAAGTCGAAGCCGGTGGACCAGTCGATGTACGAGCCGCCGAATCAATAGCCGACAAGCCCAGCGTCGTCACCACCATCACCGATCGCTTGCAAATTGTATTTAGCCGCTCAACTCTCCCCCCCCCGTTATTTCCCCCACTTTTACGTAATTCAGTTCAATTCGACAACCATTTCCCCCTTGCCCTCCCCCTTATCTCATCCACAGAACACATATCTCTCGACTAATATTCACCCAAATCCGCTCACAAATAACCACCTACCGTACCCCCCCTTTATTTGAGTAGTTTACACTGTTCTGTGAGATTTTATATATTTGCCCCTCCTTCTCCCGGCCCCATTCTCTCTCACTGCTCGCCCCCTATCATCGCCAGATCTCGTCGTTTAATTGTTTTGCCGCCGCCGGCGCAGACTAATATTGTTCTAAACACAACGGAACGCTTTGTTTTTGCAATAAAAATATATTCTACGCGAATGGTGGGCTTGAATTTGGATGAACTGACGCACACTCGGTAGCGGAATTTTTTTTGGGAGAGATTTGGCGACTCCGAACGGACGATTGTGTAGGTGCATTGAGAATTTGCTAGGTTCTGAAGTGAAACACCTGCTTTGTTTGTTCTTTTTTATTTCTGAAGCTGTTACTAAAACCTCGCTGTCGAATTTTTGCCGGTTGGCGTGTTCTAAAATTTAATAACCGAAAAGTGTTTAAATTTAATTTCAACGTTTCCTATAAATTTGACACGCTCGCTAGCGGAATTTTTTGGGGAGATTTGACTAAATTCGATGAAAACAGACTAATACGTACCTACAATAAAAATTAGCTACTCTTTTATCCGAAACATTTCTTTTTCTTGTTATTTTTTAGTTCTAAGGCTTTTCTAAAATCTTTTGGCCTGAATTTGTGAAAAATTCATTTTTTTCCGGAACATTGGTACAAAAATTGGCCGAAAAATTGCATAAATGGTTTATTAGGAATAAAAATAATTGTTTGCGATTTTTCATTCTCTTTTTGTTCTTCTGGAGGCGACAAAATTTTTTTTCTAAACGCTGCTGCTAGGCGAATTTCAAGAATTTATCGTAAAAAATTCAACGGTTAAGTTGTTCCGTCGAATCGTCGTTGTTCTTGTGCAAAAAATCTTTAAAAATCATTTTTTCAGCCTTGGAATTGTTACCGCAAGATGTCGCAAGAAGGAGGCGGCCAACCTCCGGTAATTTATAGATTTTCGATTTTACAACCATCAATTTAGCCGGGCCGCAGCTCGCTGTTCGCCAGCGTCGCCGGATCGTCGCAAGAGTCGCCGCCGGCAGGCAGTTCAAGGGTCGACACGAGTGTTCGGGAGGAAAAATACAGGTTGGCTTTGGATGTAGAAACCGCAGGTTTTCGAAGTCGCCTGACTAGTTTAAAGATTCAATTCAAAATTTAGCACTGCCGGCAACGACGGCCGCCGCTACAGCACGTTTCCGTCGGCGTCGCCCGTCGTCCAAGAAACTGAAGAAGAGCGTAGGATCCGGGCAGCAGAGGTGGATTTTTTAATTTTGAATCTTTAAACTTTATTTTTAGCACGCCCGGGATCGCCGTGAGCAACTAGAGAGGAAGCAACGCGAATTTCGGCGCAAGGAACGCACGACGGTGCACGTCGTCTCCTACAACGATGACGACAGCGGCTCGGACGGCGGTGTTAGGGTAGGATTTTGCGAGGTTATGTTCAAAATGTCGAAATTCATAATTACGATGTTTCATGATGTCGAAAATTACCTAGAAAAAGCCCCAAATCTTCCGCAAATTTCCACACATTGAATTTTCGAAATTATGAAATTTTCGAGATTACAAACTTCCGAATTATGAAATTTCGACGTTATGCGTACTATTACGAATTTGCGTACTATTCGCTTTTAGATTGACGCGCCGATATGCTTATCATCAGGGTCAGATGGTGAATACGTGGTATCTTCAGCTTTGGCGCCTTTGAAAATATATCTTTTTCTAGTACGCCAACGAAATTCAAACCGAGAAGAAGAACGTCACGGCGAAGGTGTCGCGCCTTTCGAAGGGTGATACAAAGTACGTTTTGTTTCCCGGGGGAAAGGGCAACTAGCGGTGATTCTTTGGGCAGGAAATGCTAGCTAGGGAGGCTCATAACTAGCACAAATAGAAAAATTATGATGCCGAACGTTTCCTGATTTTTTCAGAGCTACTTTTTTCACGTTTTTAAAACGCGAAATTTGGGACTTTGTTGTTTTCCACAATTTTTAAGCTGTTTCCGGAGTTTTAAACGCTTTCAGTAATTTTAAAATTTAAAAATAACGAACTAATTTTGGGTAGATCGACGTGTGATCGACGTGTTTTTCTGCCGATTTTCAGCTCGAGCTCATAATCACAATTTTTTAGGGGCGTCAGCGAATGGCGAATGAAGGGCTACCGCAACTCCTTCGAAGCGAAACCCAGCCAATCGTTCAACTCTGACCCCGCGCGAGGGACCAAGCAAGAACTCTCCTCGATGAGCACCTCGGATCGAAAGGGGAGCTCGAATGGCGCGTACAGGGTCGGTTTTTCAAATTTTTCTTTGAAATTGGCGTTTTTTAGAGCGATTCTGAGGACCGGAAGCCGTCACGGAAGCGCAAGCATAAAAAGAAGAAGAAGTCGAAAAAGTCCAAGAAATCGAAGCGGAGACGCCGCGATTCCTCGAGGTATCAATTTATATTGTCTATTAAAACTAGAGATAGTTAGGTCTGTTATTAGGTCTGTTTTTCCTATTCCTAAACGTCAGCTTTACAATCTTTGTTGTTAAAATATACAACAATTGAGATTTTTCGACCAAACGGGGTATTTGGGGGAATATAAATTATTTTTCCAATTGTGAGACTGTAAATGGCAATTTTGAAAAAACGTGCGGATTGTCGGCAATCCAATTATTTTTTTTTAGTGACCCCGACAGAAAAAGACGACGCCGTGACAGCAGCTCGAGGTGCAAAATTTCTTTCAATAATGACATTTTTTTTAGTTCAAGCTCCAGCTCCTCCTCATCCTCGTCCAGCTCATCCTCAGAAGACGAGCGAAGAAAGCGACGTCATGTGGTTGATAAGGTGCAAATATTTCCGAAATTCCAATAATTTCTTTTTAGGCGCCGCCGCAAAAGCACAAGTACAGGCTGATGCGCGTCGACGAGATGGACCCAACTTCGGCGGAAGGCATCATGAAGCTGATCCAAGTGTGGCGCCAACCCGACCCCACGATCCCCAGCTACGACCAAGTGTTCAAGACGGAGCGCTGTGATGTGGGTTTTTTTAAAAGGAAATTTACATCGGCAGGTTTGAAAATGTAAAAGCCAATATTTTTCACAGCATTTAGCTTGATTTCAATTCTAAAAAGATTTTGCAGCTTTGTTTTTTATAAATTTGGAAATTTCATCGAAATCGCCATTTTCGTCGAAAAATCTAATGTTTGCACTGGATTTCCCGATTTTTCGAAAGAACCTTTTTTATGCGAAACATCGTTAATTTTTTGAATTTCAGGCAAACATTCGCATATTCCACATCACCGGCCGCCCGGATATGACGACCGTGGAGCGCAAGATGCTCGACAAAGTAGCTAGGGTAAGTGCTCCTTCTTTTGGCTGGAATTTTTTGGTTTAGGACATCTACGGCGAGAAGAACTTCCGCAAGACGGCCGCCAAGCGCTTCGACGACCGGGCGCTGCGCTTTTCGAAAACCCCGGAGAATTTCTTTTCAAAGTACGTTTCTCACCAGCTCTCTCTCTCTCTCTCTCTCTCTCTCTCTCTCTCTCTCTCTCCATTTTCCTCAACGATCTCTGCTAATTTTCCCTTTTCAGGCGCAAAGATTTCGAAGACCCAAACCTCGGCGGCATCGTCCAACTTTCGAAAGGGCGCCTCGACCCGCTGAAGCCTGGGGTAAAATTTGCTTAATTTTCTAACATTTTTTTGCAGTATGAAGTCCAAGAAGAGGAGCACATGCAGAAGGAGTCTCCTGAAGCCTGGCTTGAGGTGAGAAAAGCTTCAAAATTCCATTTTCCGAATTTTAGAAACAATTCCTCGAGACCGAACACCGCTCTGCCGACACGCTGCTCGCGTCGATAGACCTCGACAAGTTCGGGCTGGTCACCGAGTCGATAAAGGTATATAACGAAGAATTTAAATAAAAATCAAGAACGGCGATTTAAATACCTATTTGGAAAACTTGTTTTAAAGCATGATTTGGTCAATTTCAATGTTTTTTCCATATTCTTTCTTGCTGAACACGAAAACTCAAAAATTTGAGCTGTTAGGTAAAAAAAATGCGGCTGGAACTGCCCTGTCCTCGAAATTTTGGACTTCTCGAACCCCCAAATATTTTCCAGAAAATCAACGAGGTGATGTCGGCGCAGCGCTCGAAAAAAGGGGCAGGCCGAGCAGGGCAGCAGCAGAAACGCCGCCGGCGACATGGAGTCGATGTGGTACCACAAGCTGCTGTTCGAGGACGTGAAGCGGAAGCGCGATCTGCTCGTCGCCCACGACGACGACGAGGCCACGATCACCGACCAGCAGTTCAACGTGCTCAAGGTGGGTTCGCTGGAATTTTTCTGGTTAAAATTTACAAATCAAGTGTCGAGGATGCTAATCCCTTCCATATTTCGGAATTTGAACTTTGTTTAAAATTAAATTTTTTATCTAATTTTATTATTTTTATCTATTTTATCGGAAACGCATGAAAAACGGGAAATTTTCGATATTTTGTCGCTTTGAGCTTTTTTCTTTTTAAAATCATAAATTTATTATTATTATTTATATTTATTTATTTATTTTTAGATTGACAAGCTGACGACGGCGTTCAAGGAGACGGGCGCCTTCCGCTTCTTCGCCGAGATTGTACAGCTCAGCCGGGATGTGTCGACGAGTGAGGATATGAGGAAGTGAGTTTTTTTAGCGTGTTTTAGCTCATAGTTCAGGCTTTTTTGGCTGTTTCCTCTTCAAAAAAACAACATTTTATTCATGCTTTAGATTGTTCACCGACAACGAGGGCCGCTTCTGCGACGAGCCCCGATTCTGGACGACGTGGGTCGAGACGCTGCTGTACGACATGAAATTCTACGACGCCGATGAGCTGGTAAGGATTTTTAAACTTTTGAAAAAGTTGGGCAGGCTAGCAGAGTTTATTTGGGAAGTTACACACCTTTTTCGCGATTTGGGATTTTCGAAAATTTTGAAAAACCGTCGTGGTGACAAATTCACGTCAAAATTTCTCTGGGGCAAGGCTAGATGTTTTTATTAAAATAGCGGATGCGTTTGTATCTGTTTTTAACTATTTTTACATAAAAATTTACATTTTTTGATTAAAAATATCTATATTGGAAAGTTTTTTTTTTCGAATCCACCTTTTAACAATTTTACAAGAAAAATAAAAATTTAACAAAAAGAAATTATTGTGGGGAAAAAAGGGGGGGATGAAAGGGGGGGGAAGCGAGCGGTGATTATTTCGCAAACGACATTCCTTTACATGTCGCTTTTAAATCCAAATAAAATCCAAATTTTTTAGAACAAGCTGATACGCCGTGCGATACATCGCGTCGACGCCATCATCGGCGGCAAGTTTCAGTAAGTGTAATTTTTTTGCGTTTTTTTATTCTTTTTTTAGCGTCCAACGCGGCTACTCAAGCGCCGAACAGAAGGAGGCGCTCGTCGTCCGGCTCCTCCACCGCAACATGAGCCACGCGATCAGCGTCGGCAAGCTCAACTACGCCGTCGCCTACATCCAAGCCATGGTCACACAACTCGACATGCCCGAGGAGTTGTGGCGGCTGGCGCTCACCCCGGGAGCTGATGTGAGATTTTTAAAATTTGAAAAACTAATACAAATTAAAAAATTTTTGAGATTATCGGAGTGGGGGAGACTTTTTGCTTGGGATGCAATTTTTCTAATTAAACTAGGGGGTTTGTTTCTACACTTTTTTGCTAGTTCTAGGCCCACAAAATTGATTTGAGTGGAAATTTGAGTTTGAGTTTCCAAATTGACCCTAATTTTTGTCAGGAATTACAGAAAATATTGATTTTTGACCAAAAGTTAATTTTTTAAAGTTATTTAGCAAGTTTTTTTCAGGAATTACAGAAAATATTGATTTTTGACCAAAAGTTATTTTTTAAAGTTATTTATCAAATTTTTAGCTAGATTTTACTTCTAATTAAATTGTTTTTAAACTCAGTGACTTTACAAGGCCTGCCTGGATTTATAGCTTAAAAATTCGGTAGAAAATATCCATTTTTAGCGCTCCAAAATCGCCATCAACCTGAGCGCCTACTGGAAGAGCGGGGTGCCGCGTGCCGGAGATGCCAATTCAATTAGTACGTTTTAGGTTTTTTGTTAATATTTTTGTATCTTTTTGTATTTTTTAAACATTTTTATTTAATTTGAATTAATTTTTATTAGTTTTTACTAAGTTTGTAGCAGTTTTTTAAATAATTGTTTTATATACCCTTCCTTTTCAGCCTGGTCCGCCTGGGACGGAAATGCCGTGACGGTCGAGCGAGAGCTGGCAGAGGAACGGAGAGCCGTCGACGAGGCGGAGAAACTGTAAAGAATTTTCTAAAATATTTTACTTTAATTTCAGGGCCGCTCGAAAATACCTGAGGCTCACCGACCCTAAAGAAGCGCAGGCAAAGCTGTGGGCCGACTTGGAGCGGATCCGCGGCGAGCGCTTCTGGCGCCCGATCCGCGTGCGCGAGGCCGTTGAGCGACCGGTGAGGATTTTTAAAATGCATGAAATCTCTAGAAAATTGCATTTTTTGTAGTCTTTTAAAAAAATTAATTTTAAAGGCTCGTTTTCCTGTTTTAGAAAATTGCAATTTTGTAAATTTACAAAATTGGGGTTTCAAAATTGAAAATTTATGTTTCAAAAAAAATTATGCCCGTTTTCGCAAGAAAAATATTGATCCAGCGAACAGAACAAATACCTCCGTTTAGTTTAAACTTTAAATTCAAGAAAAGCGCCAAAAACCCATGCTTTTTCAAGGTTATTATTAGCTATGTTTACTATTCATTTATTTTTCTAATCTAATTCTGGGGTTTTTCGCCCCTATTTTATGCCAAATTTATCGGTGTTTTAGGTTTTCGTCGAAATTGTTAATTTTTGTTTTAATTTATTCAAAAGAGTTTAATTTTTTTATTATAGGAAGAAGAAGACCGCTTCATGCCGATGCGCAACCTCGACTTGCCCGAGTTGTCCCCGATGCGCGTCGCGCTGTTCACCAGCGACATCATCGGCCTGCTCGGCGCGCGCATCCCCTTTGAGGTGGATTTCAGTTGATTTTGTCATTACTTTTTACAGGCTGGCACTCTGCGGCAGGTGGCCGCCGAGCTCGGCATGTTCACCGCCACCAGCGGAATTCCGGCGGCTATGGGTAGGATTTTTAATATTATGTAAAAATGTAAAATCGTAATGTAAAAATAAAATTAATTTTACAATCAGATTTTTCCATTTTTCAGACGATTTCCTGCTGAATCTGCTCGACGATCTCCGAAATTCGCGTCAAGTGACCATGAAGCTGCGCTACAGCGCCATCCGGATTTTGAGGTGATAATTGGGTGGAGATTTTGTTTTAATTTAATTTATTCGAATCTACGTTATATAGTGTTGCTTATTTTAAATAGTCATTAGAAAATTATTTTGATTTTTCTTAGTTTTTAAGGCGAATGGAATTTTTAAAAATGCTTTTTTAATTATTTAAGGGGTCATTAGGTTTGTTCTAAGCCTTACGTAATTTTCTGAATTTGGTTTTTTTATTTAATTATTGAGATCAGCCATTAGAGAAGTACCTCTTTTTTATTTTAATTTAATAAGGGGTATCGAAATTGGAATTATTAAGCTAGATATTTCTTTTTAGCATACATATTTTTTTGCAGTTACCTGGACATCATGGAGCGCCGATCGCAGGTGAAGCCCGCGGAGCGCTGGTTGAAGGCCATGGGCGTCGCCACTGAGATGTATCCGTAAGCCCGTGTTTTTTTCAATTTCAAAAACATGTTTTTAGGAAATACGACACCGCCTGGCTGCAGATTGCCACGCTCGGATTGGCGGAGGTTCGTGAATTGTTCTTGATTTTAAGATTTTTATGGATTTTCTGCATTCCTGGATTTCATGCTCCAATTTCAGCTGGGCGAACGATTCCTGGAGCAGCGGAAGCGCGCGCGCGAGGCCCGCGCCAAGGAGGCCAAGTCGGAAGATCCGGAAATCCGCGAGAAGGAGCGCCAGGAATGGCGTCTGAAGGAGGCGCGCGAGATGTGCGCCATCCCTCCCTACTGCCAAGTGGTGCGTTTTTCCGCATGGATTTTATCGCGGAGCTACTGTTTGCTTTCATAGTGTTTTTCAGTAGTTTCCGCTTCGTAAAAAGTTTGAAAAAAGAAAAAGGGTTTAAAATTCAAATTTTGAAATTTTTGGCGAAAAGAAATCAGAATTTTTCGAAATGTTCAATGATTTTTATAGACTTTTTATGGGTTTTTCGAAATTCAGATTTACATAAGTTAATTTTCCCGGAAAAACTCCCAAATCCTTAGCAAAAAATTCGACCTTATAATAGCAAATTCCTTTCGATAGCGTCGTAAAAGACCACAAACCCCTTTCCAGATCTGGAGCCGAATCCCGGGCGACGTGAAGCTAGTGAACGAGGACGATCCCATCTACTTCACCATCAAGTGCACGTTGATCCTGCTGCAGATCCGAGTGAGTTTTTATCTTTTCGCAGCGACGGGCTTCGATTTTTTGATACTTGTACGCTTTTTTCAGGCCATCAACCATCCAAACTTCACGAACTGGATCATCTACAGGGCCATCAGCAGCGGCAAGCTCGGGATGCCGCAGACCGGCAAGTGCAGACCGGTGCGTTTTTTGGGCACGGTTGGAAACAAAAATATGAGTTTCGAGAAATCTTGGTTCAAAAAGTTGTCATCATTTAGCTAACATGATGTGGAAATTTCAGAATGTCGAAAATCATAATGTCGAAATTCAGAACGTCGACATTTTTTGCAGAGGATTTGGAGATTTGCCGGGGAAATTCGCTTATGTAAATCTCGATGTTCTGGATTTCGATGTTATTAAATTTCGACATCATGAAATTTCGGCATTGTGGCTCTTCGCAATTTTGAAAGCCAACCCAAAAGCCAAACGCGAAGAAACGGAACCACTCGAAAGGGAGTTTTTGCATTATTGATTTTCGGACAGATTTATTTTTCCTTTTCCGGGGTCAATAGCAATCCGTTTAGTTCGTCGACGACATTTGCCAGCGGAACCCCGTCGCCGGGACGGAGATCGTCCGCCTGCAGCACTACTGGCGCGAGTTGCGTGAGAAGGTCGACGCCTGGAAGTTCAATAGCGGGGTGTGTTTCGGCTTATTTTTGTAAAAAACGTTGAATCTTGAGACTGTCGAAAATGCCAAATTCCGAAAGTTTGAAGTTTTTTTTAAACTTTAAAACTGACAAATCGTGATAATTTCGAATTTTTTATGTGTTTTTTCGATTATAAAATCCGGTTTTGTGTGGTGATTCGGAATTCTAACGGAAACCGTCCATTTCAGTGTATTTTTTGGTTTAATGCCATTTAGAATTACGCAGATTCGTTATTTCCGCGTCGTAATCGGGCATTTTTTAGCTCCACGAAATCGGCCTCTACCAACCCGCCACCCTGGTCCACATCATCGGCCAGTGGTTCAACTACGCCGGCACGTCGCGCGCCGATTTGGAAAAGTCGGTCTTTTTACAAGATTTATTTCCCTTTTTAATTTCCGATTAAAATTCCGTTTTCAGGATGAAGGGCTTCTACGACGAGACGGTCAAACTCGACAAGGACTACTTGAAGCACAGCGAGCCCGACCGCGCCTTCACCTTCATCAACACGGCCGAGATTCTGATTGACCACAACGTGGGTTTCTTTTCCTAAAAAATCTCTGCTAGCTTGCCATTTTCCGAATTCCACGAATTTTCTAGCCAAAATAAATTCTTTTTAGAGCCACTACCGCTGCTGCTACCAGCAGTACCGCGAGCTGATCGACGAGGCCCTACAAAAGTGCCCAAGATCAGTGCCGCTTCGTCGTCTCCACTGCGACGTCATCGCGGCGATGCCGATGGTGCGCAGCAACCCCTACATCCAGAAGTACAAGCTGGAGCATGAAGAGGGTCAGTTTTTGTAATCTGATTTCCTTTGCGCCGTTTTTAGGCGCTTATATGCTATTTTTTCTTTTTTTAGTGTATTTTATTTGATTTTTTAGCATGCGAGCTGGGAAACGTGCACCGCTCGGCGTTGCTGGCCATGTCGCGCATCTACCTGTGCCGACGTATCCATCTGCGGACGCTGGCTGGACTCGATATGGTAATTATTTGTTTTCTCTCCGTGCCTGTCTCTCTCTCTCTCGCTCCCTCTCTCTCTAGATGTAGCTATATTTCTCTCTATTTCTCTCTCACTCTCTCTCTTTCTCTCTCTCTCTCTCTCTCTTTTTCTCTCGTTTTAGCTCTTTAAAATGTCTCTTTTCAGGGAATCATGGCCGGCGGCATCATCCGAGCAGTCGAGAAGGAGCACCGCGAAGTTGCCAACATGTAATTTATTTGGAGTTGCTTATTTTGTCTTTTTTTTTAGTCAAAACGACCCGTACATCTGGAGGCTGCTGTTGGAGTTGTACATCGACCTCCGGGATCTCGGCAAGGCCTATGAGGTAACGGACATTTTTGTTTTATTAATTTGATTCCAAAAAGCTTTTGAATTTTGTGCCAAAAATGTCTGCGTTGCGTTACTTTTATGTTTTCAGTTTTTGTTTTGGATGTTTAACGAAATTGGCGCTATGTTAGAGAAATGAATTTTTCACTATGTTTATTCCCGTTACTCGCGAAAAATACAATCGTTTTTGTTTCAGAAAACCACTGTGTGTTTTCAGATTTGGTTTCGAATGTTTCCCGAAATTAGGGCTACCCGTAAAAAAACATTGCCTTAGTATGCTCTTGAGTTCCGACCAAATCTACAATTTTTTCAGACCTACACGATGGCGGTGAAGAATTGCGTGTGGTCGCGTGAGCTGCATCTGCTCTGGGCCCGCTACGCCACCCCCGAGCAGATCGACGAGATTCAGCGGCTGATGGTTGATAAGGTAATTTTTTGGGCATTTCTTTTCCTAAAGGATCTCTGCTAGTCTGCCCTCCTCTCGGGGCCCGAATTTCCTTGAGAATTTCTGCTAGCTTACAATCCCATTTTTCAGAACATTCCGATGCTGGCCGAGCCGGACATGGCGCAGACGTACCTTGAAGCCGCCGAAGGGGACGCTGAAGCCTGACAACTTGACTTATTCCCCCTTCTTCCCCGTTTCATTAATGTTATTTTTGTAAAGTCCACCCTTTTCTCTAGTCTATAAGCACTTTTCTAAGTCGCCTAAATTTCATTTATCCCCT